TCTTCAATGAAAGCCTAAGAAAGTCTGTCAAAAGCCTTTTCAAGATCAATTTTGAGAGCCATGAAGCCTCTTTTCCCAACTTTACTTCTCATGGAATGTATCACTTCTTGGGCAATAATAATATTATCACTGCTCTGTCTGCCTTAAATGAAGCTACATTAGTTGTCCCCAATAAGATGATTCATACAAGCTATGAGACAGTTGGAGATGATTTTAGTTATGATTTTGTAGCTCACGTTACAGAGAGAGATTGGCCGAAAGTCTTTCATACAAGTAGGATGATCAAGTTTAGGAATAAGGGTAATGAAGGTATCATTAATGTTCGCAATGGTATTAGGATCTCTAAAGGCCGACTTAATTAGTTTGAAGATGTTTTCCTTGAGATCCTCCCAATGAGTATGAAAGAAGTTAGCATTAAGGCCATCAGGACCAGGCGCTTTAAAAGCTCTAATGTCAAAAGCAGCAGATTTAATTTCTTTTTCAGTCACTTCCCTATGGAAAGAAATAGATTGGTCATAGGTTAATGGAGGGAAAGTTCTTTCAGTACAAAGCTTGAGATTTCTCTGACTATCTTCCTTGAAGAAGTTTTCAAAATAAGAGACTGCCAAGTTCTTAAGAGAGAATTGATCGTGAATCCAGTTGCCATCATTATCTTTGAGAGATAGGACTTGATTCTTTTTTTCTTTGGATGATAGTAGAGGCATGGAAGAACTTTGTATTCCGATCACCCTATTTTAACCATTTGCATCTAAATTTTTGATACTAAATTAATTCCTCTTGAAGGAGAACTTTATTATAGTCCTCCCTAAGAGATTTTTCCAGTTTCTTGAGAAAATAGCTGTCCTTTGAGCTTCTATATTTATCAATCCCTTCAAGTCTTCTTAAAATTCTTCTATTTTTTGCAGAGATACTACTGAGACTATTCTTATTCTAATCGGTAGCAAGTTTAGCAAACTTCAGAGTTCCGTTCGTCCAATCATTATCACACCAAGAATCTTTGACAAGAGCCTTAAAGGAAGCTTTTAAAGACTATGCGGCATGGTATTTGAAGGGTATTAGATTCAGATTTGAAACATAATCCTTGTTGAGTTGAATGTGAATCGGTCGATGATCAGAACCAAATTTAAGAAGATGATGGCTGTTTGCATTAGTGAAAGAAAGTCTCCATTCTGTATTGCAGAAAGCTCAGTCAAGCTTTTCTTTTATGTTGCCTTTTTCCCAGGTAAACCTTTCTCCACTGAAATTGAGCTCAAGAAGGTTGGAAAGGTTGATGCATTGTTTAAAGAGTTTCATAGATTTTCAGTTAAAACCATTGCCACCAAGTTTATCCTCACAAGATAGATAAGCATTAAAGTCACTAACAAAAAGCCAAGGTTCATTAGTGATTTTGGATAAGTTGATAATTGATTGCCAAAGTTCATCATGATTATAGGGATTAGGATCCCTATAAATACAAGATAAAAGGTAGGTAGGAAGTGTTGTCAAACGGGATGTTGACTTTACAATGAAGCAACTGGACATTAGAGTATAAGTATTCAATATCAACTACATCATTATTCCAAAGCAACCAAATACCTCCAGCATAACCCATGGCCTCAACACAAATCCAGTTAAAGAATCCCAATTTTCTAACAATTTTATCAGCTCTAGTACCACTAACTTTGGTTTTGAGTAAAATAAAAATTTGAGCATTGTATCTATTAGAAATTTCTTTAAGCTTGGAAGGAAAACTTTTAGCACAATAACCTCTACAATTCTAACTAATAATATTCATGGAAAAAATAAATAAAAGGGAAGAAAGAACCTGGAATGTTGATTAACTGTGGATATCAAATTGCATTTCCTCATTCTAATCATCGCTAAAATCATCATCTTCAAGATCCTCATTAATAGGAGTATTCTCAAAGTCTTGATCAAGCAAATCATCATCTATGTCTTCATTTTCAATATACTCATCTTCAACAGATTTAATGTATTCTGAGGCCCTTGAATTTTTACTATGGTTATCCATGATGGTGTCATCGCTCATTTGTGTCTCTGGAATAAAGCTAGGGGAGGAGTCAGGATCAGGAGGCTTTCTTTAAGAATGATTGAGAGTCAGTGTTTGGTTATCAACATTGCTAATATTCCAGACCTTTAAATTCGGCGGGTAAACATTATTTGCTGTAGTCAGAGTGTCGTTTATGGGCTCAGAAGCACTAATGGCTTTCTCCTTGTATTTTTCATTGATGGGCTGAGAATGAGAGCCTAAATTCTTTCTATTTCCTCTAATGACCAAGTGTAGTCTTTTTGTGGACTTTCCTGATACGCTATTGGGCTTAGTTAGTGTGGTTATTGCTACTTCGTTGTCTTTCATAATTTCAATACTTATAGAGTTTAGGCCTTCCCAATTGAATCGTGGCCCAGCTAGTTTCCTCTTGTTTCCCTTAGCTGTGCTGAAAAGAGTTTCCATATCTTCAGTCGGTTCTTCTCTATAATTGCAATACCGCTTTGTCCGATCATCATTCACCTCACTCTGTCTCGCCCTCTTAGACCCAGATAGGTCCTTCTTTCTCCACACCTTCCTGACAATATTACTGACATGATTCATTGAGGGCTTGTTTTGTTTACTCTCGGTGTTGTACCTTTTGTACTCGCCACCACTAACTTGCTCAAGATTAGATAATAAATCAAATCGAGATTTAGTGAAGAAAATTTTACCTCGACCTACGTGAAGACGGCCTTGATGTTGATTGAAGCTTCTGTTCGTTGGATACTCAGAGTTTTTGCCCGTTGGAAGCCTCGTGGTTTGTGATCGGATTGGTCTTTGAGGTTTGTTCCATTCACCGTAATCTTCCTTCAGTAAGCTTTCCGATGAGCTATTGAGATTTGGATTCGACTGTTTGTTTTGGCTGTTCTGGGTTTCTATTGGCTCCTTCTGCATTTCCTTGTCACTCTATTTTTTCTGGGTATTTTGTGGTTTATGAGGACAAATATTCTTATTATGCCTATAACAACCACACCCAAAGCAGATGAGACTAAGGCTTTTATATTCCACGTTATAGATTTCATCTCTTATAAGCAACCTTAGAACAAGTTTCTTTTGTAGATCAATTTCTACACTAATCCTGACGAATTTTTCCCTCTCAGTTTTGCCGACAGTGTCCTTAGAAATTGATTCTGAGAGAGTATTAGTGTCAACCTTCAAAGTTTTTCCAATACAGTTCCCATCCTCCAGAGTATGTCTTTGTCATAGCATTGGATTGGTACATTTGAAAGCCTAACCCGTAGGGCAATCTTGCCTAATGAATTGGTGTTGGGATTGAAATTTGGGTCTATCTCTGTACAAGAATGCAATGATCAAATATGGTCTATGGTCCGCCATTTAGAATATGCTCATAGGCATCCGGGTTGCTGGTTCTCACAATATAATAATTATTGACTAAGTCAATTAATTCAAAATCCTTAAGATTCCATATTTTAGCTAACCTTGGCTTAAGTGATCTCAGGTGAAGATGTAGGCTGAGGGTGTTAATCACTAGTGCGTCCATCCAAGGTAAGCAGATGCTTCTCCGTTCATCATTTGAGATGGGAACCATTTGGTAGCGTTCCATTAGTTTTCTTGTTGATTTAGAAGGATTTCAGTCTTTCTCTAGCTCTTTGCAAGATCATCATTGATGTATTTGGTATCCTTAGTTTCCTTGATTCCATAGCAGCCATTGTATCCGATCAGAGAGTCTTTATAGGATATTGGCTTTAAAAGCATAAACTCCTTTGATCATGTTGTCTTTAGTAGCTGGATTTCCTTCTTGGATTTCCATAGGTTGAATACCAGGTGATATCTCTTCATTCTCAGTTTGATGATCATTTGATTTTTTCTGCATATTAGTTGAAGGCAAATTGTCTTTGCCGTCATTGATCAGTGCTTCATCTAGCTTCATCACGTTCCGGTTCATCAAATCGATTTCTTCTTTCGAAGCAGGAGGATCCTTAGCTTCTTTGATGCTTGGTGATGTAAAGAACTTAAAATTTGGATCAGCAACAAACTTTGGATTCATTGGGGAGGGAGTGATGCAGACGAAGAAAGAAGAGTCTTTATTATCAAATCTTTTAAAACAAGCTCTTTGATCCAGTGACCGTGCCTTGTGTCACCGTCCCACACCCTCTCTACGTTATGTTGAAGAAAGTAAGTGTCCTTTCTCAGGCTTTTTAAAACTGACTTTGCCAATGAAATTTAACTGTCCTCTTATTTCTTATGTTACCCCAAAAAAAAAAAAAAAACACGCCACACAAGATGAAAAATCGTTTTTTTTTTAATTTGTGTTTAGCCTTTCGATTATTTCTGAATCTCAAAGTCGTCCATATATATCTTTTAATTAAATAACATAAGAAATTGACAATATTGAAGCTTGCATTCATATGTATTCAGATATTTTAACAATTAAAATAATAATATTGAAGTGAATAATATAGATTTCATATTATATATATACACACACACTATCTAAACTATTTGTTATTTATATTTTTTCAATATATCAAACTTTATATTTTTTTTATTTTTTTTTTATTTAACATATCAAATTTTTTGTTATTTAAAATTTTTATCACATTTTTAAACATTTTTAATATATTATATTTATATAATAAAAATTACAAATCATCATAAATGAATATCCTTTTGATAATTATACATTCAAAAACTCATTTCATTATATATAATCCAAATAATTTTTAATATATCAAACTAAATTTTAAAAAAATTATTTAAATATAAATTTTATTATAATAACTGACTTTTATTGAATTAGTTTTTGTTAAATTAAATTTTAATAAATTAACTTTTGATAAACAGAAGACTATAACACACGCTTAACTAAATTGCTGCATACATGAATAACAAAAACTCTTAAATTACTAACTACTTATTCAAATAACAAGAACCCTTAAATCCTGTTAAGTCCTCTGACACACATTAATTTAAATTAGAAAAAAGATTAATAACCTGGAACTAAATCAAATTTATGAATTGCAAAAACATTCGAAGAAAAATATTTGCCGCGATGACCAAGTCAGGTTCACACTCCCAGGTGAAATCTAAGTCCTGGTCAATCAAAACAAAAGAATCAATAAATAAACAAGAAGGCTGCACCAATTACGAAGTCTCAAGAACTGCCAAATGCTTGGATATTGAAGCCGAAATTATAAAGACACAAAAGAATAGAACCAACCAATGCGACCCATTCAGCCTCAGGACTTATTTGTCAGTATCTTTCTGCACAAATTGCCCCACCATATATATATGTATGTATGTATGTATGCGTGTGTACACACCACACACAGGATACAAGCTTCATAGGTCTTAGAACAAAGTAGCCCAGACTCTGAAAGAAGAGGTGAAAATGGCGAGGAGGAGGAAGGCTGTGGAAATAGAGGAAGAGAGAAGCATGAAATGGGATGAGATGGTGAAGGAAGCTGAAGCACTGGGACTGAGCAGAAGAGCCAGGAAGCGTTTTGTTGGGGTCAGACAAAGGCCTTCAGGCAGATGGGTTGCTGAGATTAAGGATACCATTCAGAAGATTCGGGTTTGGTTGGGAACTTTCGACACTGCAGAGGAAGCAGCTCGAGCTTATGATGAGGCTGCTTGTCTCCTTCGTGGTGCCAATACTAGGACCAATTTTTGGCCCTGTTCTTATTCTTCTTCAACCCCTGTTCTTTCCTCTAAGATCAGCAATCTCCTCCTTCAAAGGCTTAAAGCAAGAAACAACTCTTGCTCTGATTTTTCTTCTTCTGCTTCTCTTCTCGTTGATCAACAAGAAAAGCAGCAAGCAGATGTGTATAATGAAGAAGAAGCTGCGGATTTTTCTATTGACCAATTGACTGATTTCCTTAATGATCCTGAAGATTACAGCGCAGGCAACAATGACTTTAGTCAGTTCACTAATCACAGTGCGCAAGTTGACTTCTTTACCGGCAGTCTTGAATCATGTTTGACTGAAACAGATGAGTTCAGGGGAAGAGAAATGGGGTTGGAAAATGATGTCAGCAACATTGCTGACTTGAATTCAGGAGGAAAAAGAGAGGAAGTAAATGAGGAAGTAATGAGGCATCTGGGTGCGCAGGATTTTGAGTTTATGGACAAGGTTGCTCCATCATGTTACTATTCACCTTTTGAGATGGCTGAAGAGATGGAGGATCCTGTGGTGGAAGCAGAGAGCTACAGTGATGAGCCTTCCATGCTCAGAGCCGCCATGAAGAGGATGAAGTATGAGAGGAAGTTCTCAGCTTCCCTCTATGCATTCAATGGAATACCTGAATGCTTGAAGCTGAAGCTAGGATCAGCAAACTGCAAGGGAAAAGGGGCTTCTGATCATTTAACCAACATCCACAAAGCTTGTAGCAGCAAGGAGAAATCTGAGGAGAATAAGGAGGGCAGAGAAGACATGGGAGTAATGGAAAGTAGAGAAGAAGAAAAACCAGAGAAATTTAACGAGGCTGAGTGTTCTTCATCTTCCATCGGTGTGGATGGTGAATTGTTGCTCTGGAATTCACTGGACCTTCCCCCCATATGTTTCGTTAACTGACTAAACAACCGTGGGTTCCAACATAACATACATTTCTGTAAATCGAATGTTTGCCAAGTGACACATGTCAGATTTCGTAGTAATTATGTTTAGTTAATTTATGACTTAATCATCCCTAGGTCCATGTGAGTTTCCATCATTCTTCTAATAACTGATTCTATCCCCACCCCAATCCCATCTGTTTATGAATACCAAACCATACAACGAGAGGTGGCTCTTGCGAGGCAATCGGAAAAGAGATATCCCAAAATCATGAATCGGAGAATTTTATGGCTTTCGCCAAGGTTTAGAAAGAAAGGAAACACGAGATGCATGCCAAGAATAATTGTTTCCTTCCCCCCTATTTCTTAAAAATAAATAAATATATACATGCATTCCAGGTGGCTAATGCTTCCATGCTTTCAACTTTCAACCCAATATATATATATATATATAAATACACACGACTCAGGCTTCGTACATGCAAAGTTGATCTGACCTACTGCACCAGAGGGCAAAGGTAGTATCAGCTTAGTGCAGAAATAATTTTCAAGGGAAAAATGGATATCGTTATCAGGAAATGGAAAAACTGATTGGCTGGGAAAAAAAAAATTCAATCTAATGATCAACTCTGCATTTCGCGGATCATGTGGATAGCAACCAGGAGAAAGGGCTAGTCAAGAACCAACCCTGGATTCGTTCCTTGCCTCAAAGTAAGCAGGAAGAGTGAATTGATTATACAACACAATCAACACTTTCATGCACGGGCAAAAGGCTAACCTTGCTAGCTTTACATGCTGCATGGACAGAAAGCCTTGTTTCAAGTACCAGTTATCAACAGTATTTACAGCAACAAAAACCATGTACATACTAAAGACTAACGCTAATTCTTCCACAGCGTTCCCAGATTTTTCACTTTCACATGGTAGAAATTCAGTTCCTCTGCGGGAAAGCACACCCAGTTGAACACCAAATTATGGAAGCAACTCTGATATTTAGGTTAGCTTGCAGCAATAATGGTCACCCAGGCCAAGAAAAAAAAAGTAGGGTTACATTGAAGGACTGAAGCTGAAATTGCACTTATGTACAATGCAACCTTATCCACAAGCTCCACAAAACACATCTCAGAGTCTCCCTTGTCAGCCTAAGCTCTTCGCTCTAGAGGACACGTAGCTGTGCGAGGAAAGAAGCACAAAGATCCAAGAAGAGAAACTGTGGGCCCTGGACCCTTTGAAGATCAAGCAGATACTTCTCTTCACGGGTTTTGTAAAGCTGTCAAATTCATGAAAGAAAGTAGATGTTACCTTTGGAGTCAAAGAATACTGCGGATAATTGTACATTGTATCTCCATGTTACTAAATGACTTTATCAACAGACAGCGATAAAGAATCTTCTCATCATGATGTCCAGAGAATGCAAAATACATGCAGTAACTTAAGAGGAGAAAACTAGGATAACAAACACTTTACGGAACACAATGCAATTCTAACCCTAACTTAACTCAGAAGCAAATATATGGCAAGTAACGTATCAGTTGCATTTTATCTATCGCAAACATATCAAATACTAAGAGAAATATATTCTGTAACCCCAGCAGTAGTTTAAATAATTAAATTTAAATATACGGATTCTTATCTGATCATGACAGTGAAAACTTGCAGTTAAAAGACCCTGTTCTGTTGGCATTTCTTCTTTAGCCAAGTGCAACAAATTGAGACTACGGTTTTCAAGAAATGTTACCTGCATTTCAAACTTGACCACATTTGACTTAGAAACAGTGTCATTCTCAGCAATAGCAGAATCATCTCCAAAGTAATGATTATGATCATTCACCATTCCTTCACGATGACCCAGAATGCTAGCGACCCACCGGCACTTCATGTTATAGTGTCCAATCTTCTTCCAGCACACATTCAATTCTTGCAGAGCTTTAAGGACCTCAGTCATTATTTCACGCGGATGGGCTCGAGACTGCTACAAGATAATTTATAGGACAATAATTAACAAAGCAAGTCCATCAAAGCTATCAACAAGGAACAGTATAGACACTAACAATTTTTATTTGTGCATAACTAGAGTCAATCAACAAAATTGATCACCCAGACTTCCATAAAAGAGAGGGAATCAGATAGATAAACCCAGACATCAAACAAGGATTTCCTCTTAAAATAGTTACGCATCATCACCAGTAAAGGTAGCATATAAGGCGGAAATGCTCATTAGGAAGTCAGCTCCATCATGTAAAAAGAAAAGATAACAATCAAAACATTGTACCTGAAGCCCAAGAGCCCATTTTCTCTCCACAGGGAACTGTGGCCTCAACCCAGTTCCTTGATAATCCATGTACCCTGGAAAGCGGTTCCCAACAGCTGGAGCAGCAACTTCACTAGGATGCATCCGATTACAACCAGTATCCTAATCAATCATCAGATAATCAAAGCTAGTGAGCTTCACAAAATTGTCTTAAAAATAAAGAAAGAAACATGATATACCAAGGTATGTAACACCTTTTGTTCCACAATTATAAACTCCATAGTATACAATGTCCAGGAAATAAAATAAATTTCAATGTTTTCAATACAGGGTATGGGACTGATGCCTTGTTCACACAGGACTGCAGCTTGAAGCATGCCAGAGATGTACCATGTATTCATTACATATACGTCATATCATAATAAATAATATAAACTAATGAAACCTAAAACCAGGTGAAGACAAACTCACCATACTCTCTTGAAACTCAGCACCAAGATAGCCACTCGAAACACGGAACCGGTTGTCCAATAGCAAATAATATGCCACGGTACCCTGAAATACATGGAAGGAAGGAAGAGAGAATGTGGCAGATATACAGCAAAAGAATAAAGAGTGCATACCTCATTCTGTAACCTGTTGCGAAGAGATTCAACCAACTGATTCCTATCAAATCCCATATTAACCACTTCCTGAAGAATTTCCTCATCAATCTACAAAACCATAATGCTGATTGAAATTAATTATTTGCGCAGATCATAGTTTTCCGATAATTAATACCACACAAAACTTAATATTCCAAACATACAAGTATATATACATATATAGCATAAGTCATTAAGGGGGAAAAAGACAGAAGGCAGCTGAAACTCTTTGTATGCTGCAGAAATCCACAAACAAACCAGATGCATGAAGATATGTGGATTGCAATGGCCGCAACCCAGCAACTTCATTCCATATTTCACTATACAGAATTTAAAGAGTGAATGATAGAACTCATGTCTGCCTCATGTTAATACTAGAAGAATTATGTACCGAACAAGTCACAGAAGGAAATTGAAATTAGGAAATTTAAAGAATTATGAAACTCTTTGCCCTCAAATTAAAAAGGTTCAGCATATTATTTAATTAACCTCCAATGCCATTGAAAGATTGTAATTTCAATTACCAAAGCATGTTGCCAAAAGAAAATTCCTTTTATGCAAGTCAGTTTATCCACAAAAAGAACATCGAGCAATCAGAGAGTAAATAACAAACCCAAAAAGAAAAAAAATCACAAACAAAACACTTCATGTAAACAAGCCAGCTATCAATCACTCGATGTAAAATAAAATAGCAAAAAATCATCAAATCATATGCAAAATGCAAAAGCATCAAAATAATGTATAAATAGTAAGCATAAAACCTTTTTGGCTTGCTGTGAAGTATCTGGTGGTGGCACTGCCAAATAACGAGGGAGATGAGCTTGGAACCATGGGTGTTGACGAATTTCAGGTATGGTCACCCTTTTCATAGGATCAACCACAAGCATCCTTGGGATCAGATCTCTAGCACCAGGTGATAGATGACTAGGAAGAGTGTATATCCCACCCTATAAGAAATAAGAGGTCACATGGGGAAGCAAAAGAAGAAATGCATGTATTTTATATTTGAAAACTACTAATATATAGCATTTATTATCTTGGGTTTTTCAATCACTATGGTGTAGGTTCACATTTTAAGCTAACAAAAGCACTCAGAAGGGAAGTGGCAGAAGAGATAGAAAAATGCAAAGGGAACACCAGAGAACTCCACCAGATTCTCTCTCCCAATCAAAAAGTGAAATAACTCAATATAAACTTTCCCAGGCAGTGATGTCAGATACTGTGCTAATGTTATCAATAACAACGAGACATTGACCCATTATTTCTAGGATAAACAGATTCCGCTGGTGAAATGATATTGTTCATGAAAAAATAGATAATTAGAAGCAGGAATGTATTAATAGCATAAGTACACAACCGGATCACTGAAGGAACCAAAACTGATAATTGAAGCTTAAAAAGCTACAATGAATATTGGGCTCAAACCTATAAGCTTTTCTGACCAAGACATAGCTCTTCTGATCACAAGGACAATACGAGACTCAGAAGTCAGAACCCATGAAGAAAATAATTTGACATGACAGAAACATTCTAAGGATACCTCCCATCGGAAAGATATAGGATTAAAGACAGACCAGCAATACCTTTATTTTCTTGAAAAGATTTGGAATGTTTTCATCATCAAAAGGAAGAGTGCCACAAAGAAGAGCGTATAAAATTACACCACAGCTCCAGACATCTACTTCAGGTCCAGCATAATATTTTCCAGATATTACCTGAAAAAATGCAGAATACAAGGAAAAAAATATGAATCACCAAAAGAAACCAAACATGAATCACCAAATTCTTTCTAAATAATAAAAGCATCCTTTTGTTTGCAATCAAAAAGATTCCAAACCTCAGGAGCAGCATAGTTTGGGCTCCCACAACTTGTCTTAAGGAAGTGACCATCAACCATTACGTTGCTCAAACCAAAATCTGCAATCTTGACATTGCATTTGGAGTCCAACAGCAAATTCTCGGGCTTCAAGTCTCTATGAGCCACCATATTCCTGTGACAGTACTCCACACCAGAGATTATCTGTTTCCAGAACAGAAATTTAGCTTAAATGATGATAAGCATAAGTTGCTGAAATGCAAAAATTTGCACTTAATCCTACCTGCTGAAAAAAATTACGAGCTTCATCTTCTTGCAATCTGCCCTTTTCTACTATGTAGTCAAAGAGCTCTCCAGATTTGACATACTCCATAACAACGTATATGTCAGCTGGAGTTTCTATGACTTCATAAAGTCTTATGATGTGAGGATGCATGAACAATCTTAAAATTTTTATTTCTCTTCTCACTGTGACAAGTTTGAAGGGGAAAAAATAGAAATTAATATTCAATCAACAGAAAGCAACAGTAGCAAACATGCAAAATTTGAAAGACACAAAAATCAGTTGTATATTTCTCCCCAACCTCTATACGTAGAAGAATATTGGAATCAAATCTTGGAAAACACCTTTAGTTTTTCAGCCTATAAACCAGAACCTTCCAAAATAAAAATATAAACTTGAAACCCAATCCTCAAACTGATATGAAGACTTCCAAGAAAATTTGAAAGCAGGCGACACAAACCTTTTTCTTCCATTTCCATATTCTTTATCTTACGTTTGTTGAGGATCTTAATAGCAACTTTGTGACCTGTCAAAACGTGCTCTGCAATT